TGGGACACTCAGAGCCCTGAGTCAGAACAGAGAGTACTCAGCCAATGAACAGAGGCAATCTACACATGTTGATTATAACAATAAATATGAAAAGCTTAAAGGACACCAGTGAGGTGTCTCCCTCAGCTCAGAAACCTTGTTTAACAAGATTTGTCAGAGAGGGCGTGTCCAGGGATGATTCTTCAGTGAGGCAATGTCTTGTGCCACCATGGCTTTCATTTCCATCCTGGGAAGGTGTGTGGAGGGAAGATGTGGGTGGCGGTAAGAAAGAAAACTAGCCTTGAAGCACCTTGGCCGGGGACTGAGAGTACTTCACGGAACTTTAGGTAAATGTCTCTACCTAAGAAAGCCAGGCCAGTTCTGACTGTGGTAGTACTGTAGATGACCCTCACTTTTCAAAATATATTCCTCTGGCAGAGGTTGGAAAATGCAACAGGCAATGTGACATGTTGCCTAGAATTGCCTAAATGCCAGAGACAGTTGTCTGTGCATAAAGTGAACTCTGTCTCTAGCAAAGTGTCCTTGCTTCCTTAAGGCCTAAGACCATCCAAAAGAGGTGACTCTAGAGAGCTCAATTCATGAAGAGCTGTGAGTTTATCTCAGGTTGTGCCTCAGTTTCTTTGCAGCTGTATCATAGGTTTATTATAAAGACTACATGAGTTAATGCATACAATATACTTAACATGATTCAGGCTGCTTAGCATGCCTCAGAATATAGTAGCTCATGTATCTATAACTACTCCTAACTTATTATTGTAATTGAACATATAAACATCTTGAAATTATTATAAAGATCTTATCTTAGGGCTGGAAATAGAATGCAACAGTAGACCATGTGCCTAGCATATGTGAGACAGGAGTTAATATTCAGTGTCCCCAGGGGTCTTTTATGAGACTGTTTCTCCAAACAAGGACCATGTACGGATATGGCCTAGCGCCTCTGCTTGGATGTGGCCCACGGTAGCTCGGTATCCAGGTGGGTACGCTAGTGGGGGAAGGGACTGTTTCTGACATGGACTCAATAGCTGGCTCTTTGACCTCCCCTCCCACCCCTTGGGGAGGAGCGGCCCTGCTAGGCCACAGAGGAGGACTTTACAGCCAGTCCTGGGGAAACCTGGTGGGCCAGGGTCAGATGAAGGGGGAGGAGGACCTCCCCTATCAGTGGACTTGGAGGGGGGCAGGGAGGAGATGGGGAGGGAGGGTGGGATTGGGAGGGAATGAGGGAGTGGGCTACAGCAGGGATACAGAGTTAATAAACTGTAACTAATATTAAAAAATATATCTCCAGTGCTCCCAGCACACACACAAAAGAGCTGAAATTGCACTGTGTTGCAACCTAGAACTTCTGTAAAGAGGGCGGTTGCTGGCTTTTATATTATTTGCTGGGGTACCCCTATATAATGCTCTGTAGTATGAGGCCTTTACATTTTAGTTCTAATAGGTGCTGGTCATTTCCCTACCTGTGTTAGACACTGGCCATGCTTCCTGTTGAAGGAGAGATGAGCCAAGCTTGTCAGGCCTGTGTTTAAGTAAAAGCTAAGATTTTATAGTACCTCCTGTTACCTCAAGTGTAGGGACACTTTTTTTCTAGCTATTTAGAGACATTTTATTTTTTCTGATTTTCTATTTTTTCAATATAAGTTATTGGAAAAAGTCCCTGGGATGAAGGATTAAACAACAATTTTAGGTGTACAACACATCTAAATTAGTTTGAATAAATAAATGTTGCAATACTACTATATGCTATATATTGAGAGAGCAATAATGAAACAAGAACACAGCCTGAACCTTCTGAAGTCCGTAACACTGAGAGGGAGATGAGCTTGGGAGATACTGAAGTTTTCTGCCCAGGCACATGAGAGCCTAGAGAAGGGCTCTTTTTTTTTTTTTTCATCTGCACAGCTTTTATTATCAATCAATCAAACATGCTTCTCACACTGTCCTATGAAAACCTACTTGTTAGTTTCTTTTTTTTTTTTTTGTCTGTAAATTCTTTTTTTTTTTAATTTTATTTTTTTCTTATCAGTTACATTTTATTAACTCTGTATCCCAGCTGTGTCTCGAACCCTCATTCCCTCCCAGTCCCTCCCTCCCTCATCTCCACCGTGCCCCTTGCCAGGTCCACTGATAGGGGGGACCTCCTCCCCATTCATCTGATCCTGTTTTATCAGGTATCTTCAGGACTAGATGCAAAGCTCTCCTCTGTGGCCTAACAGGACTGCTCCTCCCTTGAGGGGTGGGGAGGCCAAAGAGCCAGTCATTGAGTTCCTGTTAGAAATAGTCCTTGTTCCCCTCACTATGGGAAACCAGTTGGTTACTGAGCTACCACAGGCTACATCTGAGCAGAGGTTCTAGGTTACATTCATACATGGTCCTTGGTTGCATGTCAGTCTCAGAAAAGACCCTGTGCCCAGATATATTTGGTCCTTGTGGAGCTCCTATCCTTTCCTCATCAGACTAACTTTTAACTCCCCTTCTTTCTTATGATTCCCTGTACTCTGCCAAAGGTTTGGTCATGAGTCTTTGCTTTGAAAACACTGCTAGTTAGAGTCTTTCAAATGCGCTCAGTAGACTCCTGTCAATGTTCAATGTGCATCCCATCTGTCTTTCAAAACGAGGATTGATAATCTTACCCCATGTCCGCTCTCTTGATTATCTTTTTTAGGTGTATAGATTTCATTATGTTTATCATATCTTATAGGTCTATATAAGTGAGTATATACCATGTTTGTCTTTCTCCTTCTGCGATATTTCACTCAGGATGATCTTTTCTAGATCCCACCATTTGCCTGCAAATTTCATGATTTCCTCCTTTTTGATTGCTGAGTAGTATTCCATTGTGTAAAAATACCACAATTTCTGTACCCATTCCTCCATTGATGGACATCTGGGTTGTTTCCAGGTTCTGGCTATTACAAATAAAGCTGCTATAAACATGGTTGAGCAAATATCCCTTTTGTGTACTTGAGCAAACTTTGGGTATATACCTAGCAGTGGTATAGCTGGGTCTTGAGGAAGCACTATTCCTAATTGTCTTAGAAAGCACCAGATAGATTTCCAGAGTGGTTGTACCAGTTTACATTCCCACCAGCAGTGGAGTAGGGTTCCCCTTTCTCCACAACCTCTCCAGCATGTGTTGTCCCTTGAGTTTTTCATCTTGGCCATTCTGATGGGTGTAAGGTGATATCTCAGGGTCGTTTTGATTTGCATTTCCCTGATGGCTAATGAGGATGAGCATTTCTTTAAGTGTTTAGAGAAGGGCTCTTAACCTAGCAAGGATTCAGTGATGCATCCAAACAGGATCATGCGTGAACTGAGCCTTCAGGACAACCATGGGAAAAGCTGACTGGTCTACTCTAAGCTGGAAACAATGTCACGCATGAAGTGGGAAGCAACATAGTGCTTGTGTCAGAGTATGTGGCTGTGTGTGAGAAAAAACAGTTGGAAATTGATATTAATTTTTAAAAAGTAAGATGGGAAATGGTAAGATATAAAGCTAGGTAGTAGAATGTACAGGGGTCAGACTCCGGGGAGCTCCACTGTGCATGTCATACCGAGAAGCCTAGATGTTAAACTTTTCAGCAACACTAAGAAACTTTAAGAAAAATGGGCATCTTCAGATTCTCATTTTGGGTATATAACTGAGACAAACTAGAAAAGTTAAGGAGGAGACACCCCTGTAGACGGGCATTACCATTACACTAGATACGGCAAGACCAGATGAAGGGCAAAGCAGTGGTCGAGTGAGGAAGAGATGACCCCAGATGAAAGCAAAACAATCTGGAGACATAGATGAGGCAGGGCAAGCCTGAGACATCTAGGATGACTTCCATGTTTCAGCCCTTGAGTTACTCGGTAGATGAAAGTGGCAGTTAATATATATATATATATATTATATATATATATTATATATATATATATATATATGTATGTTGGTTGCATGTGGTTTTAATCTGCTTTCTTTATTTTTTCTGAAGGACACAGCAAAATAATATACTCAGCTGGGTCATATTAGGTTTGAGGTAATCACATAACAGGTTAGAACTAGAAAGAAATATTAGTAATGAACAAATAGATACACGAAAGCAGAGGCAAACATGGGGAAATCTGTGATGACAGCAGAGCAAGAGAAAAAAGTCATAAGGAGCCAGGTCTCAGGACTGAAGGGTGTAAGATGAACAGGCAGGAAAACATCTGGCTTTCGGATGGAGCTTGACACTGCTACTTGCAACCACCATGGCTGCTTTTTCGGCTTTCAGTACATGGGTATATGTCAGGCCCTGCACTGGTGTTTTATAACATACCCGTGGGGTCATATCTTACGTTGATGAGACTCGAGGTCAGGGAAGTCATGGAACTTACCAAGGTCATGGAGTGAGTTGGCAGAGCTCGGATCTGAACACGGATCTACTGGGTTACGAAGCATATGCTCCTAACTCCTCTAAAGCAAAAGTTCTCAGGGTGCAGCTTAACCCCATCAGGACAAGGACAGCTACATGATACATTTTCAAGCCTCATAAAAGACCCGGACACTGACCGTTAAATAGTAAATGCGGGGTGATATGTGATCACTTCTTAGCAAGTCAATACTTTTCTTCGCAATCTTCACATTTATTAAACACCACCCTGGATGCTTACAAAGACAAGGAGCCGCAGCACAGGCCAGTCCGTCCCCCAGCTCCTGTGCTGTGCTGGCAACACAGAGTGAAGGCCCTGGTTAGCACTCCTCAAGGAAAGCTACTTGCCTTAGACATGGGCATTGACGCTGACTCAGCTTCTTAAAAAATTACTGGTCCCAAGCAGAGCTGGAGGGCTGTGCAAAGTTTGGCATTAAACTGCACAACATGGAGGAAGCCACTAAAGTACACCTTTTATAGAAGGAAGGGTTATTTTAGAGGATAATTTGTGTTCCTTTTAAGGACAAAATGAGAAAGTTACAGCCCCAGTACAAAGCTGTTATGTCCCCACTTCCCTCCAGAGGAAGCAGCAGCATCTCTTACCATTGGGTGGATAAAAGACAGCATATTCTTCTAATCCTAGTTTTCCTGTAGGAGAAAGCCATACAGTAAGTAAAAAAAAAAAAAAAAAAAAAAAATTAAAACCAACATTCTGTGAATGTGCTAATAAGAAATGGATCATATGTGGGATTTAAAAACCATAGTCTAACTTTTATTTCATGATATGGAATTAGCTGAAAATCTGTCAGCTAATCATCTGATGCCAACAAAGCCTTTTAGGAATTAAACTCAATAATATTGATTAAACAATGCTTTCAAATTTCCTTAAGCACTGGAGAATAATTTATAAACATAAAATTGAATTTCTGAATTTAACAACCCTGTTTATTAAAGCAAGTCTTGCCATATCCCATTAGCTTATGTTTTTAGGAAATGTGCTGAGGAATTCAATTTAAATATCTTCAAATATGTAACAGTCGCATATACCCTGACTCCCAGCATTGTTTGAATGACCAGAGAAAGAAGATGAACATTTGAAAATAGAGTTGTTCCAGGAAAGTACATTCTCTATAATGTTCAACATCTCACTTTCCCATCTTCCACTGAATAACTTTAGGTGTGTGCTGGCTAGTTTTTATGTCAACTTGACACAAGCTATAGTCATCATAAGGATCAAACCTCAATCGAGAAACTGTCTCCATGAGACCAGGTTGTAAGCAGACAAGCCTTAGTGACTGATGGGAGAGGGCTCAGCCCATTGTGGTTCCTGGGCTCTAGAGCATCATCTTAACAGTTTCTGCACAACTCTGAATTGTCAAAAAGACAGTCATTCTTACATTGGTATTTAAATTAAAATTTATTATTAAGTTTTTTTGTTACTGTTTTTTTTCTTTATTAATTACACTTTATTCACTTTGTATCACCCCTCCGTGGTTCCCTCCCTCCTCCCGTCCCAATCCCTCCCTTCCTCCACCCTCTGCATGCATGCCCCTCCCCAAGTCCACTGATAGAGAAGGACTTCTTTTCCTTCCTTCTGATCCTAGTCAATTAGGTCTCATCAGGAGTGGCTGAGTTGAGTTTTTTTGTTTTTTTTTTTTTTTAATTGGGTGTGTAAGGCAGAAAGACGATAAGAGTCAAAGTGGGGCTGCTGATCTTTACATGGGGAAAAGAACAGAATGATGAAAAACAGACACACAATTGACCAGAGCAGTAGATATGGAGACAAGCACAGCAAATACAGGGTATGGTGCCCACCTAGACCTTTTGAATTATAATCTAGGCCAAACCACAAAATAATAGAATTTGTTTGCTGGCGTCTTTTCAATGGGCTTTAAGGGTTTCAATGTTCAGACGCGAGGGAAACTGATGATAGGTTGGTAGACATGACATATAGGCTAGTTCATAAAGGGCCTATAATTTGTGGGGTGGAATGGGCAGCTTTTCAGGCACTATGGCTATGTAGGGGCTGGCATGACGAGAGCACAGCGTGAGATAATCAGGGAGGGTAAGAAAACCAGGTTTAAGATGACGCGGGCAGACAGATGGTCTTAAAAATTATAGCTCACTTCGGCCATTCGTGAAGTTACAATTCAATTGTATAATCACTCTGTGTGCCGGCTGAGATGCACACAGAGTGTGTGCGCACAGGGGTGTGCGTGCGTGCGTGTGTGTGTGTGTGTGTGTGTGTGTGTGCGTGCGTGCGCGTGCGTGTGTGTGTGTGTGTGTGTGCGTGCATGTGTGCGTGTATGTGTACAGATGTGTGCATGTAGAGGCCAGAGGTCAACGTCAGCTGCCTTCCTAGACCACTCTCCACCTTAATTTCTGACACTCCAGCTGGGACGGCTGGCCAGGGAGCCTCTCGGACCCGCCTGTCTCTGTGTCAGGTCATAGGCGCACTGCTTCACCTTTCCCTATTTGCCCCCAGACTTGGAACAGCAGAAAACGAAGTTGCTAACCGTGTGCTGATTTTCCTATGTGTTATCTGGAAACTCAAGTCACCTGTGAGAAACTTTTGCTGGGGAAGCAAAGTCAGACCTTCCTGTTTGCACCACAGGCAGTTTATTGACTGAGCCAATCTCCACCTCAACAGTCTCTTTCGATACAAAAGAAAGGGAGTTTTTAATGTCTTCATTTCAGAAGCAAAGCAGCCCCACACTGGGGAAGGGAGCCTGACTCCAGCACAAGATGCTGCAGTCTGTCCTGGGGCAAGAGCTTGAACACCCAGGCAGCAGTGGTCTCTTCCTCTGTGGAAGCAGCAGATAGGCCACCCACGGACATACAAGGCACCGAGATGTGAGTGCCTGGGTGTTTACCACCCAGTGAAAAGGAGAGAAGGCTGAGTTGGTTCTGTCTTCAGGTGCTGACAGGACCCTGAAAGGGTCATGTGGTATGCCGAGGCAGTGTTGGAGAGACCACTAGAATAAAAACTATAGGGTAGGATAGCATGTATATCGTGCCATAACCATAAGTTTAGCAGCACGAGAATTCAAGAACTAATTTATAAAAAGAAAGTTAAGAAAAACTGAAAAGATAAATCTCTGGGGTGGGTTGGTTCATGAGTAATGAGAAGGAAAAAAGTGACAGATTTGGCACAGGAGATGGCAAAAACCAGTCTCTGGCACCAGTGGAGGCTTGGGTGCTGACACGGAAAGGAGGGCTATTGCAGAGAAAATGGAAACAATTTTCAGTTTAAAAACTGGAAATACTAATGAAAGATACAAAATATTCAAACATTACGGGAATGATTATATAAGCCTTTAGTAATTTCTCTTCAGGATTATTAAAATATTACCTCTGATGTATGATTTCGGTGGTGAAGCACTGTTGTATGCAAAGTGTCCCAGGACAGACGTATCCCGTGAAAAACAAAGTAATACCTGGATATAACATTGGAAAAATAAACGATGAGCACCGCTATAGAACAACTGATAGTAATTAAATGAATTGTAATTTCACAAGGGGGAAGCATAGTGGGGCTGCTGAAGTTCAGTGGTTTTCCAATGGGAAGAGCGCCCTCTAGCGGGCACACCTTCAGGAAAGGTTCACAGAGGGCCTCCCTGTGAAGGCAGCCAGTTCTCACAGAAATGTGTCCCTGTTTGCTCCCCAGACTTTGAACAGCTGAAAACGAAAGCTGCTCACTATGTGCTGATTTGCCTATGTTTTATCTGGAAACCAAAATCACCTGTGAGAAGCCTAACAGATGAAAAGTCCACCAGGGTACCCATGGGTATTCACACCCAAGCACTGAGGGGGCAGGAGACTGGAGCCAGACTTAGCTGGTGTGCAGCAGAAGTCGGGCATGTCAGGAATAACTGTGGGCACCGTACAGTCACTGTTTGCTGACAAATGCATCTCCTTCCCAGGGTAAAATGGTATAAAATGAATACTAGGTTGCTGATACTAACGATGTAAACCCTTAACATCACTAGCTGCACAGCTAAGAGTGGGTAAGGGGGCAAATTGCATGTTTTGCTGTTCTGTTTTTAACAACATTTTAAAATGTTTTATTAAACCAAGTTCAGAAAGAATGTTAGCGTCTACTGAGAAAATGTTTAATTTTGAACTATTATTATTATGGATATTTTCCAATAATGAGGCGAAGATCACTGGGCTCCAAACAGTCATAGGGTCATAAAATGTGATTAATCAGAGTATTGATCTCATCTCTTTGGTGTGTCCTGACTTATGATGTTTTTGAGATTATCATATCATCACAATATTTCCCCCTGTCCTTTTCTCTCTCCAACCCCTCCCATATAACCCATCTTATTTCATTCAAATTTATGGTTTCTTTCTTCCTTCCTTCCTTCCTTCCTTCCTTCCTTCCTTCCTTCCTTCCTTCCTTCCTTCCTTCCTTCCTTCCTTCCTTTCTTTCGGCTTAATGATTTTATTATTTTTTATTTTTTCATTAGTATTATTTACAATTCTTTCCCTTTGTATCCTGGGTGTAGCCCCCTCCCTCATCTCCTTCCAGTCCCACCCTTCCTTTTTCCCTCCCTCTTCCTCCCCTATCCATCTCCCCTAGTTCACTGTTAGGGCAAGTCCTCCTCTACTGTCTGACCCTAGCCTATCAGGTCTCAGCAGGATTGCCTGGATCCTCTTCCTCTGTGGGCTGCTTAGGTCATCCCACCAGAGAGAAGTGATCAGGAAGCAGGCAACCGAGTACATATCAGAGACTTTCTCTTCTCTTACTACAAGACCCACCTGGAGACTGGGCTGTCTACGGGCTACGTCTGAGCAGGGGTCTAGGTCCTCTCTGTGCATGGTCTTTGATTGCTGCATCAGTCTCTGCAGTCCCCCCTGGGCCCAGCCTTTTTTTCTTTTTTCTTTTTTTTTTTTTTTTTTTGGCTTTGTTGGTCTCCTTGTATGGGTCCTTCTATATCCCCCTTCTTCCATAAGATTCTCTGCGCTCTATCCAAAGATTGGCTGTGAGTCTCCGCATCTGCTTTGATCCTCTGCTGGGTGGAGTCTTTTAGAGAACATTGTGGTAGGCATCTTTCTTTTTAACTGTTGTTGTTGTTGGTGGTGGTGGTGGTGGTGGTGGTGGTGTGTGTGTGTGTGTGTGTGTTCCTAAATACATAAATCCAACGTGCTCAGCCCTTATAATGTTACTTATGTATACGTTTCTAGGGCTGACCATTTGGTACTAGGTAACCAACTGGCATGCTTTTTCTTAGAGGAGAATATTTCTGATCTCAGCATTCCTGAGTTGCCTGCACTACTTTGTCTAGAGCTGAGGCATTAGAAACTATCCCCCTTCCATGTTACTTTGTCTAAGAGGCCACGGATTTGAATGAAATAAGATGGAGGGGGGATTACATTGGAGGGATTGAGGAGAGGAAAGGAAAGAACGTTGTAATGATGCTATAATCTCAAGTTTAACAGGCCTCAAGCCCGATTGGTTATTGTCAAGGTATGCACACCACTAAGGGGTTACCATGCCATGCTGGTTATTGTGGTTCATAGGAATCATAGCTGAGGAGGACTACTAGTTGCTTGCCTCCCGTGGAAGCTGGCATAGTGCTTTCTGGTATCAGGAAAGCTAGGCCTCAGGGAGGAGGCATTGAGTCAAGTCCAACCTGGGCCCTGTGGGCCCTGTGCATGGTGTCTTTAGCAATAGGAACTTACTTCCACTTCTGGAGGACGGCCAAGGGTAGTATCAATAGCCTGGAATAACATGGGAGTCTCTGGGACCGCTCCTTCACCTAATGCTCCGGGATCACTTTAACAAGGGACAGAAAGATTGTAACAGAAGAGCAGAAAGCTTGCTGTGAGACTGTGTATCCTAGAACTGTGCAAAGCTACACCCATGTTAGGCCACATGGTTGCCTAAACACGACATGAACGGGAAAGAGACCAAGAGACATACAAATGTGGAAGGAGGAAAACTCCCGTGAGGCCTCAACCCTAGAAAAAGAACTACAGACAACTAAGAGCTCTTCCCTATGGAAGAGCACACTGAGTGCTTATCTAATATCAAATGGTCATCTCTGAAAACAAATACAAGTAACATTATATGGACTGAGTAGGTTGTATTTACATATTTCAGAATATATAAATATATTTGAAAGTTATTAATTGTTGAGTAGTATCCCATTGTGTGAATGTACCACAATTTCTGTATCCATTCCTCCATTGAGGGGCATCTGGGTTGTGTCCAGGTTCTGGCTATTACAAATAAAGCTGCTATGAACATGGTTGAGCAAATATCCTTGTTGTATACTTGAGCAGATTTTGGATATATACCTAGCAGTGGTATAGCTGGATATTGAGGTAGCACTATTCCTAATTATCTGAGAAAGCGCCATACTGATTTCCAAAGTGGTTGTATAAGGTTATATTCTCACCAGCAATGGAGGAGGGTTCCCCTTTATCCACATCCTCTCCACTATGTGCTGTCACTTGAGGTTTTGATTTTAGCCATTCTGATGGGTGTAAGGTGAAATCTCAGGGTCATTTTGATTTGCCTGTCTTTGATAGCTAAGGACATTGAACATTTCTTTAAGGGTTTCTCTGCCATATGATAGTCCTCTATTGAAAATTCTGTTTAGTTCTGTACCCCATTTTTTAACTGGATTACTTGGTTTGTTGTTTAACTTCTTGAGTTCTTTTTAAACAATTATAGAAAAAAGGGCCATGAATTTAAAAGACAGCAAGTTGTGGGGGAGGGTGTGTAGGGAGGAAAGGGAAGGAAGAAATGATGTAATTATAATTTCAAAAATTAAGAAATTAAAAAATTGGTCTGATAGAGGCCATTAAATTGATGGTCTGCAAATGGTCAGATTATTGAGAATTAAATACTAGACCCAATATAATCATCAGGCTCTTCATAAGTGAGAGCAAAAGGCAGCTAGGTCAAAGTGAGATGCTAGCTCTCCATTGGCTTAGGAAATGAGGGAAGCAGCTGTGAGGCAAAGGATGAGAGCATTCCAAAAGAAGGGAAAGGAAAAAAATGGGTTCTTCTTCAGAATCCCTAAAAATAACACAGCCCTGTGAAAACTGTGAATGTAGCCAGGTAAAATCATTCCTTTCTGTGTTTCAGATTCTCAAAGGGTTTATTTACTTTAAGCCACTAAATTATAAAAATGCATAAGTCACAGCAATAAGCTAATACAACAATAGACGGATAAAATAACTAAATCTAAATAAAGGAAAATACTCAAAGATAGGCTGTAATAATCTATCACTGCATCAGAGAGGAACCCTAAGGAAATGCCTATGTCAACGTCCCCTCAGTTTAGCAGGCTGTGGTAGCACAGTAACTTTAGAAGAAGCTCTGTGCTTAAATATATCCCCATAGAGGCCCTGCTGCCTGCGGCCTCAGGAAGGCAAGACATCTGAGACTTCTCTAAGGAGAACACTGGGACTGTAAAGTGAGAATGCCAGAGGTAGTGTGTTAGACAGTGGGTACCGGGGTGCAACCCTGGGGCACAAGCAGAGAGCTGCCAACTCCACTCTAGACTGAGCAGGTTTAACTCTGATTTTTCTGTAAGGAGATGACAGATTTGTTGTAAATCTGCTAGGGTATACCCTCAGAAGGGTGTGATCACTTACAAATTAAGAAAAAAAAAATGCATGTCCTAGCTGAGATTACTCACAGCAGGAATCTCCATTACTGAAAAATTGTAAGAAACCAGACACAAATATGAACTGTGGTTGCTAATGAAGTGTTAGACCAAGACGGTCTAGATGAGACCTGATAGACTAGGGTCAGATAGAAGGGGAGGAGGTCCTCCCCTATCAGTGGACTAAGGAGAGGACAGAGGCTAGGGAGGGTGGGTGTGATTAGGAGGAGACGAGGGAGGGGGCTACAGCCGACATACAAAGTAAATAAATAAATTAATAAATAGAATTAAAAATTTTTATATACCAAGAAAATTCTACTGAGATAATGAAGCAGGAAGCACACAAAGCTACCTTCTATCCAGACAACTACTGCACTGGGTCTGATATAACTCTCTGGGAAGCATGGAGTCTACTGACATCTTGGGATTTTCAGAGGGACCTCTGGTAACAAACTGTGGTTAATCTAGTCCACGCCAGCTTGAAACACAGCAGCATTTACCTATACACTGTTGACAAACAGCTGTGTGTATGTTTTTAAGGCTCTTCTAAGCAAATAACTACCACATATAACCTCACCAAAGACAACTGTGGTTTTTTACTTAATTTATCAGTAACCAGATTTCAGTTTTCTAGTTACCATTTTAAAATGCGTAACCTAGCAAATTCCAGCATGCCTGCTGTTTCCTTAATTGTAGAGAAATTTGACTCCGAATCCCATGTCAGATGGGAGCTGACAGCTCCATCCTGTGGTATTGGATAGCTGCACATATCTCGGACACCTGCATCCTGACTGCTGATGGCTACTTCTGCC